TTTCTCCTTCTCACCCTCTTCAATCGCATAAACCGTGTTGTTGGCACTCAATAAAAGTGCTTTTGATTTTGAATAAATACTTGTCCCTGTTCTTTTACACTCTGAGATTCGRTTAACGAACCATCACAACTTCTGCTTGTATTGAGCCGATTGTGACAGCAACGCTCTCTGCCCTTCAGGCTGAACATCTCTCCGGATTCTGCCCTTCTGCTCAGGAGGGTGGAAACGGTCCCAGGAGGGTGGAAACGGTCCCAGGAGGGTGGAAACAGTCCCGGGAAATCAGAATCGGTCCTGGGAAGGTGGAAGCGGTCTCGGGAAGATGGGAGCAGCCCGCACCGCCGGCACCCGGTGCGCTGCCGGAACAATCCATTGTCAGCAGCAATCCGTTAATTCCATTACACCTACCGCAGCAATCCGCTTAGGGGAAGCCGTGGAGAGGCTGAGAAAGGAGGAGGCACCGTTTAAATACACCTAGGCTTTATCCCAGGGGAAGCGCACGGGAAGAGGCTGCCAGGCTGTTGCGCTCTGCTCGAGGTTTGACAGCAGCCTGCAGCCTCCTCCACGGCTCCTGGGACAGCTTCGTCCCCCTCCCCTGTCACTGCTGCCACCCGTGTCCCCCGTGCTGATCTGAGGCTCCCCAGCCCAGCTATGGCTGCTCCCCCACAACCTGCAGAGCTGCACCAGAGCTGGARCCCCTCTGCTCTGGAGCCAGGCTGGGAGAGCTGGGGGTGCTCACCTGGACAAGAAAAGGATCCAGGGAGAGCTCAGAGCCCCTGGCAGGGCCTAAAGGGGCTCCAGGAGAGCTGGAGAGGGACTGGGGACAAGGGATGGAGGGACAGGACACGGGGAATGGGGTCACAGTGCCAGAGGGCAGGGATGGATGGGATATTGGGCAGGAATTGTTCCCTGGAGGGTGGGCAGGCCCTGGCACAGGGTGCCCAGAGAAGCTGTGGCTGCCCCTGGATCCCTGGCAGTGCCCAAGGCCAGGCTGGACATTGGGGCACCCAGGGACAGTGGGAGGTGTCCCTGCCATGGCAGGAGGTGGCCCTGAGCATCCCTTCCCACCCAAATCACTCTGTCATTTGATAAATCCATCTCTGCCCCCTGCCCTCCAAGCCCAGTCCCTGCTCCACCTTCTCCTCCTCACCACATGCAGCAGAAAGAAAAGACAAACACCAGTAAAAGGTGTGGAAAATTTTATTCTTTACTGAACTTTATTAGCTTTCTGTTTGGCTTAAACACAATAAATATTTCAGCAATAGCATTGAACAGACTGGAACTCACACCCACTGCAGTACCTGAAGCCCCGGACTCTGGGAAAGCCTTCGGGGTCCCTGGGATCACACAGTTCAGTGTCCCTTCAGCCCAAGGGACAGCAGCAGGGCCGTGTCCCTCAGCAGGGAGGGGTGGGGCCGGGTTTTGAGGTCTCCAACCAGCTCTGACCAAACTGTGCAGATGCCCCAGACTGAGGCAAACGGGATCTTGGAGGGTGAGCAGGGAATTACCCCGAGAACTCTGCTCCTGGGGCAGGGATGGCCCAGCCACTTTCCTGGAGATCGGCCTTGGGACCTCTCCAGCCAYGTCTGACCACACCTGGATGGGCCAGAGGGTCATCTCCACAAGCCAAATGGTCAGCGTAGCTCCCATTGTCACCATGGAATTATTGGGGTTGGAAAAGCGCTCTGAGCCCATCGAGTCCAACCATYCCCCAACACCACCAAGGCCACCAGTGTCCCTTGTCCCCAAGTGCCACATCCCTAAGGCTTTTAAATCCCTCCAAGGATGGGGACTTCASCCCTGCCCTGGGCAGCCCTTTCCATGAAGGAATTGTTCCCAATGTCCAACCTGAACCTGCCCTGACAGAGCGTGAGGCCATTTAATCTCATTCTGTCCTACCAAAAGCAGTCTCTGTGTCATCTCAGCCACCGCTTTGACACAAGAAGGTTGAGGTGGGTAAAATCAGGAGGAGCCAAGGCCGGTTTCCCAAAAACACCCCTTCCCTAGGGACTTTCCAGCTCTGTCACAAGCAGGCACGAATGTGCTCGAAGGAGAATTTGGGGTCCTCCCTGGAGCAGAGATCAAAGCAGCTCTGACTCCTGGCTGCAGATCCTTGATGGGCCAGGTGGTGACACCAGGCCAGCTCTATTTAAGGAGCTTCAAGATATTCCCAGAGCCTCGGGAGCCCCCACAGCAGCACGCTGCTCCTGGCTCTGGAAAAGCCTTGGCAAAAG